TCATTACATTGTCTATTGTCTCACAAGTGGTCAAGTCAATGAGATTGATATGACTAACGGGTGGTTGAAGAAGGACCTCCTCACAGGATTGACCCTTTGCACTCCTAAATACACCACATGTATACACATGGGTAGATCTAATGATTAAAGTTGCTGCACTGCATGTATCTAATGGGGCAAACGCATGATTTGACTATTATCTTTTTATGGAAACTTGAAAACAGAAATCATTGACATAAATTATAACAATAAGTATTATTATTATACTATAATGTATGAGGAATAAGAAAATAATTTTTACTGTTATTGTTTACATGTAGGCAGACGCTTTATTTCAACAGCAACATCGTTTCTTCCCAATTCCTGGAGTGCTTTTATCAGCTTTTCCCTTGTAGCAGTACCAGTCTTTAACCAGTGAACTATCATGTCTTTACGGGATACATCTATTTGATAGAAACTCTTCGAATGAATTAGCTTCAATTCTTCATTTTCAATTCCAAGATATAGTCCTAATGTCTCCCATTCATTGACTATCTTATTGATAGCTTTCAGTATAACAACAGCATGAGACTCATCTGTAAATAAATACACACATTATCTATTAATAATAATACTAACACATTCACTCACTTAATACAGAACCTTCTGGCAGAAAATTGTCTGTATGAACATCAGATGAAGCAATTGGATCTGTAAAACATGATTTTACAATACCTTCAAATCTAGTGGTGTATGCTAAATAACTTACCTAATAGCCAGCAGCTTTGTCTCTCATCAGTCAATGCAATGGGTGGAAGATCAGTCTCAATACTGCACCTGATCTCTGGAGGGTCTCTCTTGTATGAGATTCTGATAGGATGAGGATTCCTCTCAGTCTCACGGCTTCTGTGTTTCTGGTGACAATATGTCACAGCAGATATTTCCAGTGTCTCCTCATTGTAAGCTAATGCAGCAGCACTGGCATATAGACCCTCTAGGATCATTGAACGAAGAACAGAGCAATCTTTAGGGTTTCCAGTAAAGTAGACTTCAATAAATTTATGCTCATCAATGAATATGACAGACCCAAATAGATCCTCAGAGTAAAGCTTGACAGCATGTCGGAGCTGCTTTGGAAAGAAAGGAGACTTACTGTCGATGTAAAAGTGAGGACTCTCCTTTCTACTTAACAGAGAAACAATCAATGTTGGAAAGAAACCCTAAAATAAAAAACAAAGGGAAAGAGATTAAACAATACACACACACACACTGGCACTGTATTACCTGTAGTACTAGTTTACTGTTTGATGTAATGACTAGTGG